GAGGCCGACCCCCCCCCCCCGTCCGAGGTTTCACGTACCCTGGGAAAACCTAGCCTGGCACTCTCTTCTTTCTGGCAAACGGAAGCACTAGCCGACATGAAGTGAGGTCCACACACTATCCGCTATTTTCGTCACTAGCCGCAAGTCTGGGAGATCTAGCCATACGACCGTGCTTTAGCCCGGACCCTTTCGGCCCCTGCCAGCTCCCTTAGCCGGGCCACCATAGCCGGCCGGGGGCCGACAGCTATTGCACGTATGGCCTCTATCCCCATGCGTATCCAGGCAGTACCACATCCTCTTGTTGCACTGCTCTAGCCGACAGTGATCGCAGACCACTATACATCTGAAGATAGCCCCGGCAGGCTCCCATCGGCCTACCCCAGGGGTAGCCCCTTGGGGCCTGCACAATATCCATCCCTGTTCCGGGATAGCCTCTGTTAGCTCTTTTGCGTAGTCGGACCGTGTGCTAACCGCGATGAAGTCCTCATCCTCTAGCCTGTATATCCAGTTGGGGTCATGTATCGCCCCTTTGCCGCTGACATCGCGGCCTCTATCCGCCAACTGCGATAGCCTTCTATCCTGGCGACCGCCCTTCTCGTAGCTCCCCAGGGCCACTGGGCCCTAGCCACATATAGCCAGGTCTGGTCGATCATGCCGCTATCCGGGCCGAGTGGTCGCCCCTTGGCTTGACTAGCCACTGGCGGGGGCGCCATTATCCGGTGCACCACCTCGGGTTCTTCGCGAAGTAGCCGTTCGGTGGGCCTATCCAGGTTGATGTTCACCGCCGCTCCCTGCTGGAGCGCCGGCCTCTCCGGGGCTATCCGGCCGTCACTGGCCATAGCCTCCCACTGGGCCTCGTTGTATCGGCCCGCTCCTAGCCTTCTGTCTAGCGGGTGGCTGCTATCCGGATGGATGTAGCCACGGTCGCTATCCCCACCACGTCCTTTGGTGGTGCTCTTAGCCTGCGGCCTCAAGGGCGGGAAGGGATCGTATCCCGGCTCGCCCTTGCGTGGCCGCCGCTGCTGCTGTGTATCCTGGTTGCTATCCGGACCATCCTGGAAGGTGCCTATCCGGAAGACCTCCTCCATCCTAGCCACATAGGCCGGGACGTCCGCCGGTGGGCCACGGTAGCCCTGCATGCATCTAGCCAAGAACTGCTTCAGGCTCTCGCCCTGGGCAGGGTACTCTGTACTCGCCCTTAGCGGTGTAGCCGTGGTCTCTGCCGCTGCAGCCCTAGCCTGCTGTAGCCCCGGACCCGGGTTGACGACCTGGGCCGGGTCTAGCCCAGCCGAGAACGGCAGGGTGGTAGCCGTTTCTTCTCTATCCGCTGCACTCCCCTGTCGCAGCTTGTTCTTAGCCTTGGACTGTTGGACCGTCGGCGGGTCCCTAGCCGGCTTCTTGGGCCTCGCCGCTGTGCTATCCTCTGTGCTGGCCTCCTCTGCCCCAGGCTGGGGCTCCTCTTGCCTAGCAACAGGGGTAGCCGTGCCGCGGACCTCCGCCTCTAGCTCCTTGAGCTTAGCCATCATCTCGTGTAGCACGTCTAGCCGTTCGGGTGGCGGCCCGGCGCTAGCTGAGGCAGCCTCCGGGGCCTCCCCCTGCCACGGTGTAGCCTCAAGCTCGTTATCCGTGACGCTATCCTCCTCCAGGGTCTCTCCTGGTCGGTGCGGTCGTAGCCCGGCCAGCTGCCGGTTCTTCTCTATCCTCTGCTCAAGGTATCTAGCCTCGGTGGTGGACAGGCTAGCCTCAAGCTCCGCAGAGATATCGTCCCAAGACCTAGCCCCTTGGAACTTGAGTAGCCTGGCAGATAGCCGGCCGCCAGGCTGTATGCTAGCTCCCTCCTGGCACTCGGCTAGCCTCATGTCGCACCTGGAGAAGCTCGTGCTGCTTATCCAGACTTAGCCGATCGTATATCTGTTCGGCCAAGCTCGCCGGGTCAGTCTCTAGCCAGTCCTCTAGGAGGCGTAGCACTTCTATCCGTTGCGCCTGGACGCTAGCCGACTCAGTCTGGTCTGCCCAGCTCGGGGCAGTAGCCATGTGCCGCTAGCCGGCCAGAAGGCACGCGGGCTCGCCCACCTAGCGTGGGCTCTCCAGAAAAGCTGGTGGTCCGTTACTCCACCCTAGCCACAGTAGCCGCGGCAAGTGCATTTGTGCAGTGCTCTAGCCCACAAGCGCAAACTCAGCCAGACATGTGCACATGCAGCTTAGCCTGCCTAAGAACCTCGCGACCTACGTCCTAGCCAGCAGACAAGACAGCAAGTGCAACAACGTGATTCTCTCCTCTCTCTCTCCTCTCTTCTCTCCCCTTCTTTCTCCCCCTGGGCCCCCGCCCCCGGAGAGATGGGAAGGAAAGAGTATATCCCGAGAGGCCCCCCCGGACGTATCCCCCCGTTGGCCAGCCCCGCTGCTCTCCCGGCGTTTCTATCCCTTCAGGCAAACGGCGGTCCCCAGCCTAACGGAATAGCCGGCAACGGAGCCATCGGCAACTGGGGTACTATCCCCGGAGGTACTCCCTGCAGCTCTGCTGCTGGGACCTCTCCGAAATCTTCTTCCTCTCCCTGCTCCGGCTTCTGGTCGCCGGTGCTAGCCTGAGAGGTGTCGCTATCACCAGACGGGGACTCTTCGCCTCGGCCTTTCGGCCAGCATAGCCTACAGACATGCGTGTACTGGTTGGGTTCGGGCCTCGCCGAAAACTCTTGGGAGTTCTTAAATATCCTACGGCGGCCCATCCAGCACCCGGCCTGGCCCCCCTTGTGTAGCCTGTACTTCTTCCCTGGAAGCTCAACTATGATATAGCTCGTGCACCTAGCCTTCTTAAGGAGCTGCCTCGGCCGGTTCCGGTTGGGTTCCGGTCCCAGCTCCGGCTCACTAGCCGAGGAGTCGGGTCTATCTTCGGGAGGATTGCTCGCCACGACTTCTTCGGGTATCCCCGGACCAGCCACCATCTCCACGATGCGCTCGCTAGCCCACTCTCGTCGCAGCTCTCCCGATAGCTTCTCAGCTTCCTGCTCGCTAGCCTTGCCAGTCCGGAAAAGCCAGCCACCAAGATCGCCGGCTATCTCCCTCTCGTCTAGCTGCTGTTCTCGGTCCCGAGCCCTAGCCGCCTCTGCGTAGATAGCCTGGAGTCGGGCGACCCTTCCGCCATAGGAGCGGATATAGGTATCCGATCCCTCGGGCTTCCAGCGTCCTAGCATATCTCTATCTGCCGGCGGGATTGGCTTTAGGCTCAGCCCGGTGGGTAGCACTGCTCTCTCACTGTGCTCCGACCAGTAGCCTCGGGCAATCGTCGGGATCCCCACCATAGCCAGCAGTCCCGCTGTAGCCACCATCGCATCTGCGTAGGTAGCCATCTTCTTCTCCAGGGCGCCTCTCTCGCCTAGCCTTGGCATGAGATAGTCCCGCTGGTAGCCCGCGTGGTTCTTTAGCAGGTCGAAGCCCGCCTGTAGCCAGCCAGGGTGCTCGAAGTAGGCTCTCTCCGAGATGCATACGGGTAGCTCTCGTATGCGCCTGTTAGCCCCGGTGGTTTTGGTCCGCCGAAGGATGGTTGATAGCCGACCTTCCACCATAGCCAGTTCGTTCGGGACCATAGCCTGAAGGTCCGACCACCGCAAGCTGCCCCAAACCTTTAGGAGCTTAGCCCAGGCCCAAGCTCTCCAGCCGACGGCCACAGTTGTATCCAGGACCAGGCGCTCCCACCTAGCCAGGATAGCCGCAGGATATCGGGGGGCTCGCCGCGTCCAGGGCGCCTTCCAGGATAGCCTCTCGACGACCGTATCCTTGATCGCCCACGCTATCCTGCCTGAGGTAGCTCTCGACTCGGTCGCCCATTCCGCAACCCTCTCTATCCAGCTGATGGCCTTGAGGATCGCCTCGGGGACTGTTCGCCCGCAGGGCTCGTCGCCCCTAGCCATAATGTAGTCGGCCAGGTCGGCCGGTAGCCCAGGGGGGCGTCCACTCTTAGCCTCCCGTAGCCATAGCCGCCATCTCACGTGTATCGAGACGTAGCGCTTGAGAGTGCTAGCCCGGGTTTTCCCCGCTAGCGCCAACACCGCTCTATCCGGGTCCAGGCACCCCTGTAGCTTCTTCAGCACCGGCGCCTCGCACAATTCTAGCTCTTCTTTGAGCTTGATAGCCCAGGTTGCTTGTAGCCTTTCTTCCCTAGCCTGCGCCAGGGAGCCCTCGTTGACCAAGCGCTTCTGCCTATCCCCTTTCGGGGGCTCCGGCTCGCTATCTTCCTGAAGGTCGATGCCTTCGATCGCCGGCCGCTTGCTGAGGTTAGCCCAAGCTAGCGAAGTTGCTCTGTATCCCGACGATCTCTCCACCAGGTCTCTAGCTTCCTGGGCCTCTTGTATCCACAGGTAGATCGAGTCGCCGATGTACTCGTCGTAGCCAACGCCCAGCTCCTCAGCCACCTGGTGCCCAATATCTTCCGCGTCCTCTAGTCCGAGGGTAGCCAGCTCAAGCACACCGAAGCCCCGCGACGCCAGATGCTCATGGCATCTATCCAGCACCGCACGCTTCTGCACAAGAGCGCTATCCAACAAGGACGGAAGACCGATGGGGGTCCCTATCCCTCCGGAGGGAGTAGCCGGCCCGACTTCCTGCTCTTCCGGCACAGCCGTGGGCAAGACGGTTGGGCTCCCTGGCTCCTCGCCCCCAGGACTAGCCGGAATCACCGTAGTAGCCGGAGACTGTGGGCTAGCCGTCCGCGAAGCAGAAGGGGGGCGCGGGGAGGCCATTCTCGCCTGGCTAGATAGCCAGGTTCCCCTTCTATTCCCCCTCTACTTCAAAATTACCCCCCCTGATGGGGGACTTATCCAGAATGGCCACGGTCACACACCGTCGTAGCCATTCCAAGTCACTGCTATCCTGTCTTCGCATGTCAGAGGCAACTCTCCTGCGAGCGACGATAGCGAACGAAACTTCGTTTCTAGCGAAGCTACCTTCGATAGCTTCGAGTAGTGATAGGTAAGCTAGCACACATAGTCGTAACTCGTTCCTCGTCACGAGGTACGAACTTTGCTGAAGCCCGTGCGCAAAAGTTTCCTGAAGCTCCCAAGCCTGAACATCACTGAGTTAACAGGTTGCTCAATGGAGGCCAAAATCCCATAGGCGGCACAAAGGTGGAGGATAAATGCCAAACGTGCCGCGAACCTGTTCCCCTCCAAGGTCTGAGCTTCTCGGGGGTCCAAACCCCAAGGAGCTGCACGACTTCGCAGTTTCGGCTTCACTGCGCTGCCAAAGGATCTGCAACCCGGAGATATATGAACGTATGCAATCACCCGGCGGCAGATGAGGCCTACAATATGATGCATAGGTTGCGATTGTAGAAGATCACCTTGAATAGCATCGCGGAGATTGAACCCTTTGTGCACGCGAAGCCCTACTCGAGAGGCCGCGAGGGAGAGCGCATTCGCCCCCTGGAAGATCTCGCAGACATCGAACAGAATCCCCTCAGCCAGACTCCCTGGAAGCTTATGCGGAACCGAAGCAATGAACTCTTGATGCATCTCAAGGTAGCTCGAAATAGCAGGCTGCAACATAGTGTGATGACCCTTGTAGTCAGCATGCCGTAACAGCTCGAGAACCGCTTCCCTGGGCATCCGAGCTTCACATACCCCCGCTGCAAAAGGGGAGGCATCAGTGCAAAATAAGGCTTCCACAGGTTCGGCGCGCAAATTGCTGAACATCAGAGGAGCCCACACGATCAGCTGCAATAGTTCCTGCTTTGCTTCCATGGACAACCTGAACACTTCATCATCCTCTCGGCCCCGGAGATCGTGGTATACCTGACCTAGCAAGGACATAGCCGGACGCCGAAACATAGTGACGAAAACCCAGCAACCCAGAATGCATTGTAGAAGGCTCTTGGAACAAACTCCGAGGACGATCAGCTGAAAAGTCAGGCAGCATAAGGCTGCCGTCTTCAAGCGAGGAGCAGCCAGGTCGCCGCGCACCCCGTCCAGTTCACCGCCTAATACGACAGCTTGGTAGGAGTTCCGAACTGCCTTCTTTTGGGAAACCCGCAAATGCGCCTGCTCATACTGCGCTGCAGCCTGGCTGAATAAGCGAATGTCCCTGCGGTTGAGCTGGGGGGGCCTGTTAAGCTCCGAAGCGCAGACCACAAGGAGGAACACCCGGTCGTCTATGCACAACAGATCGAAACCCGGCCCTTTAGGTAATGCTTGGCGATAGGCCACTTGTTCGCTCGGGTGTAGCCCTCCAGCTCGCCGAAGAAGCACCGAGTGAGCGTGCTGTGCCGTTTCTACGGCAAAATTCGTCCCCATTGCCAGCGTCTTAAAGCATCCCACAACTTGTACATCGTGCAGCTCCTCCCTGTACGCCTGCCACCCTTGAAAATCACGACCATAAAAGACCCCGTGGATGTGATTCCTAGCAGCATGTCTATCGTCCACTTGAAACCCATGATAGAAATCTTCCAGGTCATCAGAGTTTATCACCAGATTCTTTCCCGCTGGGAGATAAAGCTGGCAAAGGAGCGAAGCGTGGGCCAGACTCAAGGTGGCGTCGGATACTGAGAATGACCGCCCGTTTTCCGGGATCGGGTTCAGGATCTGCCTGTCGAACTTATCGTTCTTATACACCGCAAACAAGCCACAACGGAACTTCACCTCAGACTCCGAAGCACGAAGAAGATACAGACTTTCAACCGCATCCCATTTGCGATATAATTCCAGTTGATCGGCTTGGCTGGCTTGAACCCGAGCCCACTTTGGCCGATCCCAATCGGACGCCGGCCGTTGAAACACACTTGGGTCGGAAAACCCTGCTCGAAGCAGAGGATCCACCAAGAAGGGCTCAGCTTTGAAACGGGGTGCATGCTCGAACTTGAGGCGCTTCGGGTCAATCTTCAGGCTGCAAGTTGGGGCTGAGGCTTTCAAGCTGACCTTCATAGGTGAAGCTGCCGAGGGCTCACTGTCGACGGTGTTCTTCTCCGCTTCTTGGCCTCGGGGAGGTTTGCTGTAAGGCTGTAAATCGGAATACAATTGAGCACTCATCTGATGTAGCACTTGAAGCTGTTTGTCAATCTGGTCGAATTTCTGAAAAGCGCGTTCCAATCCGCATTTAGGCCCTTGCGCTAAGCGGATCCACACTGCGGCATGCCTCTCCAGCCTGGCTAGCATTTGTAACTGCTTGGCAGAGAGTGGCGGCAAGTCTGCGGTGGGGGCTCCCGGCCTCCCTTGAACCAACCAATTGCCCGCGGCCACTAGAAGGCGGACCCATGATCGGCAGGAATTTCGGAAGTCCCAGCGCGCCGGCCCACAAGCCTCGTACGAGGAGCAGGCAAAGGATCAGGAATGGAGCACGGCCACAGTATGGTGGAGCTTGCGAGGCAGAGCTCGAAAATGGTAGAGCTAAAGACTTTGCAATATAATTCGCTAATCGGGTGTGGGATCTGACCAAAAACTTCAAGAGGTGTGTACAAAGCCGAGAAGCAGTCACGTACCCATCTAACCCAGAAGGAAAAAGTTCAGGCAGGAACCAAGTGGCAGTCACTGGCTGCTTGCGGCCCCAGCCTCCGGCTGGTTCTTGGCGCCTCGACGCCCTTTCCCTTTTGGGGTCTCCGGGGCTGGCGCCCCCGCTGGATGGTCTCGACGTCGCGGAGATACCCCAGCTGCGTAGCAATCCATCTCGGGTCGGGTAGCATGCCGTGAGGAACTTCGGCTCGAGGTGCCTTCCGCTGCTCCACCACCGCAAACGGAGGGTCTTCCCGGCACGTAAGGAGCCAGGCCAGGCGGGTGTGCCCTTGCTCGTTCGCAGCTTGCTCGCAGAACACCAGGCCCAAGCTCAAAAGGCTGAGCAACTCCTCCTGGTGGCCCCGCTCGGCTGCTTCCCACATCTCGGCCATCAAGAAAGACAGGTAGGTCAAGGTCTTGAAGTTGCCAAGGGGCACAGTCTCCTGGAAGTGGGCCCACATGTCCCGCGGCTCTAGCTCGGCCACCGACGCGCGACGACGGGCCTGGGCCAGCCTCTCGCGCACCTTTGCATGGACTCGCCGAGGATGCTGAAGGAACTGCTCCCGGAGGAGCTGCCGAGCCGCCATGCCTTTCACCCCCGTCACTTTCGAAGACTCTTCGGAGTCGCCGCCGGATCCAAGCAGGTGCAGTGGGTCGTGGCTTTTCCTGGCTGAGGAAGCAAGCTGGCTGAGGATCTGGGTCTGCTGGGCCAGGAGCCGGCTCAGAAGGTCGGTGCCCCCCGCGGTGGCCGCGCCTAAGTCCTCGTCGTCCTCCTCGTCGTCCTCGAGTCCAGCACCGGCACCGAGAACAGTACCAGGGCGGCGTTTGGGCGCCATCCACTTGATCTCGGCTGAGCTTGGCATCGGCACCCTCCTCGAACAACTGAGGAGCCCATCCCGGAAGCTTCGCGCCCCCCAGCAACGGTCGTTTTAGCGCCGACTCCGCTGAAGGTTGGGCGCCCCGCTCCTCTAGCATTGAAAGCCGGGCCTCGATCTGGTCTAGAGCGCCGAGCCGCTGTTGAAGGATCTCGCCTTGGGTGCTCGTCTGGGCCCGGGGGTGTGCAGCTCGCGGACGGCTGCTCCCAAACAGGCCCAAACAATGTTCCGGGCGCTGCGTGACAGCACTAAGGCAGTCAGCACGCAGCCGCTAAGGAACCCACAAACCCAGCAGACGATGCTCAAGAGAATCCAATCGCTGGTATGGCTGCTATTGCACCCTAGCCAGCCTAAGATAAAGGGCCAGGGGCCCGCTCTCTCGAACATGAAAGAAGCTGCGACAGCAGAGACGTTCTTTCAGCAATCCATGCAAGTCAGCGCTTCCTTGAACGGTTCGATCTCATCAGGGGACATAGACTGCCAGTGAACCTCCTTCTTCCTCGCCTGCATCTGAGCTCGCCTAGTCTCAAACGACCCAGAGCCATCGCCTCCTTCTTCATCCGAAGATGATTCCATAGCGATGGTCCGCTCATTTCCTGCCCCGGCAGACGTCTGTGCCTTGGTCGGGTAGGCCGCCCAGACTGGTGGCAGGCCGCACGTGGTCTCCTCGGAGCCATCCGTGTCGTTGGAGACCTGGAAGTTCACCTTGCGCTCCCCGACGCGAAAGCCGTAGGACTTGAGCTCGGCACAATGCTCGTCCGGCGCGCAGTCGACGAGACGGGTCCGGTAGGCCGTGATCGCATAGCGCTCTCCAACAAAGTCCTCGGTGCCGTGGTACAGGTCAGGGTCGAAGGAGATGAGCTTGTGGTGCGTATCGTACATTCGACCCGGCACTGGCTTGCCGTGGATCCGTTTGCTCACGAGCTTGCCTGCCTGGGCATCGTTGTCCTTGAGCTCGGCCCAGAATCGACCTCCGGCATGCTCGCCCAAAAAAATGTGCCAGTTGGCTGAGCCCTTGGAGTTGTGATCGAACGTCACGATGGGCTCAAGGTGTTGCGGCCCACAAACAAGCTGCTTGTCTGGCCCTTCATGCCGTGGGCTCGCAGGTAGGCGTTGAGGTAGCGGGTGAGCATCCGGTGTTTCACAGTGGCCCGAGTGACACCATGGTGGTTGCCGTGGCTGTAGTAACCCAATGTCAGTGAGCCCGCCGATCCCTTGCTTTTGGACAGACAACGTCGATCAATGGGCGTAATCTCAACCACCTGAAGCAGCTGATGACAGGTGTCATGCTCGAAGTCTTTACGCTGGAGGAGCAGCTTGGCGAGCTGTTCAGACAAAGGCCGGAGAGGCACTCTTGTAGTAGAGGTCGAAGTCTGAAAGGCCGAGGCGTTCTCCGAGCTGTGGTCACCAGTCGGGAGAGTGTCGGGGACTCCCTCTGGCTCAAACGCCTTGCCATAGACGTGGGCGACCGTGAGGAAGGCATCCTGCTTGAAGATAGGTTGGACCTCCTCGAGCGAGCCATCCCATCCTTGTCGTAGTTGTTGACCACGAGCATGCCTCATCCTGGTGCTGGGCATCGCCGGGTGATGGCTCGGCATGAACCAGTCCTGGCAAAGGGCCCAGGAGAGCGTCAAAGGCCTCTCGCTCTCTGACCTCGTCCAACCAGGAGACCACGTCTTGCGGAGATGCCACTGAGTGAAGGCCGCCACATCGCTCGCACCTGTCCGGAAAAATATGGTACTGCTCACCGCAGTCCTTGCAAAATGAAAGTAAAATGCCTGGCTCATCGGCTTGGGAAGGTTCAGGATCCATTGACGAATTAGTCGTTGCCTGATCTGTTCTCCGGGATGACACGGCACCAGCCAATTCGCCACAATGGCAACACTCGGGATCCTCTTGATACCCCTGCTGGCTGGCGAACTTGCCTCCGCTATGGGCTCCATGGGACTTGCTTGCGCAGACACTTGTCTAGAGAGCCCCCGAGCAGAGTCAACTGAAGTTCTACGGCTTCCGCCGGAGGGACCAGGAAGTGCACGGTTTGAAGACGGATCCTGTCCGGGTAAATTAGTCAAGTCTGATACCTCCGGGCTCTTGAGGTCCATCGGGAGGTTCACCAGGAAGTGCAGGGTTTGAAGATATTGGATCCTGTTCGGGTAGCACATCAGCTTCCAAAGGGGCAGAACCGCGCCCTGCCCTGGGCATAGATCTCGATCTCGCCCTCAATCTCGGAGTGCCCGGTGCCGATCTCGGCGTGGGCGGTATCAACATGAGCGGACTGAACATAGGCGATTCCAGCACGGGACGGCCTGCTGGGTCCAAAGCGACTGGAGCTCCTCAGCGGTCGGGCCAGCATTGGGAGTGTCAACGGCGCCCTCCAATTCGGCCAGAACACGACCATCGGACTCGAGACCTGGACGGTCGACCGGGCGAAACGCCCTGGGGTGGATCTGCAACTCCTTGTCCGACTTTCTTAAGACCTCCAGGTCCTCGGGGTCCGGTGTCCACCGCGACGGACGGGCGCACCTGCTCTGGGGAACACTGCACTAGACGACCACGGGAGTTACGAATCCAAATGTTGACGGCAACATTGGAGCTGGGGTTGCGGTCCAGCGCCAGAACGATGCCCTGGCGGTAACCCTCAACAGTGCCCTCGCCGTCACCCGCAGCTGTACGTTTGCGGTAGTAAGCCACTTTCTGACCCGGATAAAAGGTGCCACGATAGGGGCGGCCTTTACGCGGAGAAGGGCTGCACGTAGAGCTTGAGAAGCCTCGTACTCGTGGCGGTTGATCATCGCCTGGGTCCTCACACTCTCAATCTGTAGGAGCCGCTCGGAGTCGTTGGTGAGCTGAGTGCTGCCGCCGTCAGACAAGAGAGCAGCCGGCAGCTTGGGGTCTCTCCCGAATACCGGGGCTCGATCCACTCCGCCTTAGGAGACGGTTCTTCGCCTGGCATGCCATGGCCACGCACAAGTTCACCTCGGGGATCGTCAGCGCCGCAAACTGGTTGATAAGTCGGGAGGCATTGTATCTGAGCGCCTGTCCATGACGTTCGGCCTTCCCGAGCTGCCAGTGTGCGTCTGGAGGGATGCAGCGCACATCCACGTTGAGCTGCGCATGCAGGGACTCGAACCTCATGCCCCGGAAAGCTCCTTCCGCATCCAAGGCCATTTCGTCTGGAGCTCCAAAGAAACAGAACCATCCATTCACCAGGTTGGACACCACGTTCTCTTCCGAGCGGGACTGCAGACGGGAGGCCGACTGATAACAAGTAGCGTCGTCCACGCAATTGAGGAAGATGTGGGTGCCACGGCGGATGTCCTTGAGGTAGAGGATGTCCAGGCAGAGACGATCATTAAAACGTCTAGCCTGAAAGGCTTTCGAAACTCGGGGTTGATGCGGAGGACTTACTCGAAGACAAACCTCACAGCGTAGGTGTCGCGCACCTTTCAAGGCAAGCTCGGACGCCTTGGCGGTTGCCAAATGTCTCACCAGCGTCTCTTTGGGCAGATGCCCCAGGTTACAGTGCAGACGTCGGAGAACCTGTTGTATGAACTTCGGGATATCGACTCCAGGGAAGGAGATGTCCCGGTACCCTGGCTGGTTGGGCAGCATCTCCTCGTTGGTGTCCGCCTCGGGCGGCGTTACTCGAACTTTTGCTGGCTCGGGTTGGTCGTTGTCCTTGTCGTTCATGGAGGTGGAAGGCGCGTCGCCGTAGAAGTAGATAGCGATGCGCACCGGCTTGGCGTACTTGCTGGTGGGGGCCTCAATGATCGTGCTGACCTTCTCGGCCTCAAGTCCGATCGTGCCGTCGTTGTAGAGGAGAGCAGCACCACGATGTTGGATGCCCTCTTGGGATACTTCCACTGGCAAGCGTCTCTGTTTGGGAGACCGGAAGATCTGGACCCTTTCAGCTTCCATGGAACCAGGGCCTTCACGCGTTCGTAGAAGGGCGAAGGTTTCAGCGTCACCGCATTCGTGGTCATTCCCTTGAGCCTGGTCTCGGCTTCATCCAACAGGGGCTTCCAGGAGTCCTCATGCCGGGTGATATCCAAGAAGAAGACCTCAGCAGTCGCTTCACCGGGAGGCTCCCATGTGTGCACCGAAAGCGGCATCGCGGGCTGAAGGTGGGCGTCTTGTATCCATGCCGTGGCCTCCCCAGGGAGGCTTGTTTCCACACACCAGTTCTGGTTCCAGCGTTCATCACCAGCCTGATGTAGAGAGCGTTGTACGCCTCGAAGTACTGCCCGGGCGTGGTCCTCATTGCCCGACATGTCCGCCAACTCCTCCAGGACAGGTTGGAGCTTGCACAGGTACAGGTACTTCCCAAAACGAACCGGTTGACTGTCGCTCACAGCCTGCAGCTCAGTGAACTCCTTCGTGAACCAGGCGGGGTGGTCGTGACGTGCTCGCACTATCACATCCACATCACGCAGAAGCCCCTTTCGCAGAAGCCTCGCCCAACCCGACAAGTAGAGCTTCGCACGGTCGTTCTCAGGCAACTCCCAATAGATCACGTAGGGCTTCCGGTCAAGGATGGCATTCTCAATCGCCGAAGGGAGCTCCTGCATGCCGTCCAGGGGCTCGGCAACACGTAGACCTGCCCGAATAGCACATTCGGAGAGGCTCCAAGGAGAACTTCCGATCTCGACCACATCGGCCAAATGTTCACGAAGCTTGCGACTCGCAGCCGCCCGTTGCGAGTACACTTGGGCCTCCACTTGCCAGGCTTCCCAAAGGGACCTGGCAGCTCCCGAAAGCCGTTTTCGGGTTCGCGGCTTCAACGGAAAACATCCACGATCTTCGTCACCGAGTGGATCGTCCGCTGAACCGCAGGGGTGAGGAAGTAGTTCAGCGAGATCACCCGGTTCTTCGCCATCGTCGCTCAGAACATACGGCGCTCCTCGAACTCGCGCCTCATACGGCGCTCCTCGAACTCGCGCCTCATTGCCGATGGCATCTGATCCCGCATGTCCACGTCCCAATCGTCTCTTGACATGCGCTCCTCCCATGAGTTGACATCGTCGGCTTGGCTCATCAAGATGGCGTCCAGCTCCTCGGGAGTGAGGCCGGTGTCCTCCAGAAGCTTGTTCGCCGGCTTTGGCTTGTGCTTGCGACTTGTGGACTGGGACGTCGTGCTCATGTCCGTGTCCGACCCCGCATTGGACCGGCTGGCGTGCCATTGCCTCGGTCGCCGTCCTTGGCCAAACAGCTGGAACATACTCGGATTCTGAGTCGGACGCTCCCAGCTCGAGGTCGGTGGTGGAGGAGGTGCCCTGTCCGGCAATGGCACCCGCGAGGAGGCTGATAAGCGCGACCACGACCCGTCGGACAGAGCCCCCTTTTCGGGCGGAGCGGCAGCGGTCTTGCTCTTGGCCTGGGCGATCTTCTTCTTCTGAGCGTCCGTGAGCCCCAAAGGAGTTTTGGCACTCGGGCTTGCCTTTGGTGTGGCTGCGATAGCTTCTCCCTTCGCCGTGATGGCCCACCGCATCCCGCATGCATCGCAGATGCGGATCCTTTGTCCCCCGGCGGCATAGGTCCTTGTCCCCGTTCCGCTTGTGTGGTCGCACTTCTCGGGGTTCTTGGCATACGAGTTCAACTGCAGCGCCTGAGCCGCCGCCATAGCCGCCTGGGTTCCCATCATGGTCACTGCCGAGCAAGGCTCCATGAACTCCTTCAACACGGCGTCCTTCAGTCTGGGACGTAGGGTCGCCGCCGAGTAGAAGAGCACCGCTTGTTGAGTAGTCGTGATGAACTCCTGGAGGTGCACCAGCAGCCATCGCCAGTTCACGAGCCATCGGGGATGCTCCTTCGCCTGAGCTGGCATGAGGTGGGCGTACGGCTACCTTCGAATTGCTGATGGCTTGAAGCCTCACATCCTCGGGAGAGAACATCTTGTCGTGAAGCACATCCGAAGGGCCCTGTCGTGGAAAGTTCATCTTACCGTACTTGCCAGGCCACTCGAAGCACTCACTCGGCCACTCATCTACTCTCAAGGCAAGATGTCCACATGGGCTGAGGTACAATTGAGTGGAAGCATTGAACGCCTTGAAGTGCATCACCCCGGCCAGCACGTCGGGAACCGCCCCAAGAGCCTCCATGGTGGGTCGAGACAACAGCCCGGGAGCGGGAGCTTCCACTTCACTGATTCCCATCATCACCAACTGCCCCGCAATCCCTGTTGGGTACAGGTAACGACCCTTGCTCGGCATGCTCTTGGTTGGACCAAAGGAAAAACGACACGACTCAGCGTAGCGAAGAGGGCAAAGAAAGAGTGTTTCGATTTGTCGTTGCTGATGCCAAACACTGCCTGCTACCTGACGTTGACACCCTGTATCGGCAATCATGTAGGAAGCGTCTTCACACTTGCTCAACAGCACAGAGGGAGGCCGAGGAACATCGTAGCACACCTTTTCCTCGCTCTCCGGATCCTCAGTGCTCACCATCCAGCCGACATGGACGACGGGCACGCCTTCGGCGTCGAGTTCCACATCCGCCGATGCCAGTTGGGCCTGAAACGGAGTGACGTGGGGACACTCCCTTATCCAGTGGTCCGCCGCGCCACATCCTAAGCAAAGAGCGCCTTGCAAACGGCGCTGACGATCGCCGCTGTTCGCGGCTGCGCTGGGCTTCCCAGGGCCTTTTCGGCCAGCGCTCTTGCCTTTGCCGGCGGTCTTGCCGCCAGATTTCGGCTTTCCTTTGCCCTTGCCCTTCCGGTCGGAAGACTTGCCTTTGCCCTTGTCCTTGCCCTTGCCATCCATGTAGAAGCCCCGGCTCTGCATCATGCCGGCGAGCTTCTTACTCGTCACCGTCAGGGCCTCGGTGGCTGCCAGCAGCGCCGAGACCTCGTCCACACCGCCATTGTCGCCCTCGTCAGCCACCTGACTGTCGTCCGGGATCAGCTCCTCTTCCTCCTGTTCGTCGTAATGCTCAACGTCATTGGGCTCGTAGTTCTCCTGGTCGGCGCCCTGTTCCTCGACATCCGCCTCCGGCTCGTCGTCCTCGTACTGGTCCTCGTAGATCGTGGGATCCCACTCCGTCTGCCACTGCGTCCATCTCGAAGACCTGGAGCTCCTCCTCGTACTGTTCGACGTAGTGGACCGGTTAGAGGATGCCCTTGAGGAAACCGACCTGGAGGTCCTTGAAGGCAATGAAGCTAGTCCTCTCGGGAGGCCGGTAATGGTCATGCCCGGAGGATACTGTATTCTCAAAGCCTCAAGCACGTCTTTCATGCAGTAGCGGTTGCCGGCTGCCAGCAACACAGCAGCCGTTGACTTCTCATCAAGCCTCAAACCGTCCAGCAGCTTGATCACTCGCGCCTGCTCCGGGTACTCGGGGACCTTGTTGTCCGACAACTTCCGCTCCAGCAGGCGAAACATCCGGATGAAGGCATTGATAGACTCACCTTGCATACGACCAATCGACTCGAACTCACGGATGACGCCGCCCTGTCGAAAGATCTCCCGCTCACCGAAGGCCTTGTCTAGGTCCTGGAGGAGGATCTTGATGCCGTCGGCCTTGTCAAACCTGTCGTTCGGCACCTCTTCAAACTCCAGCTCGGCCTCACCCGTCAGCTTCTCCAGCGCCCTCAAGGCCTGCTCGTTCGGCGGCAAAAACTCCTTGGTTATGCGAACCCACCGAAGAAGCTTTCTTCGGTAGTGTCTCAGACAGTATGGGTTCCGCTCCACATCTCCATCGAACTCCGGGGCGGCTCCTGATCGCCACTTGCGGTCCTTGTCAGAGGTGTTCGAGCCACCACGGGAGCCCCTCTTGCGTCTCCTCTTCTCGCTCGAGCCCAGGGAACCCTCATTCGCCTCGGGCTCAGCGTCCACGTCACCATCGACCGCGCCAGCAGCAAAGCCGCTGTCGTCTAGTCCAGCGCTATCGGCGCTGCCTTCTTCTTCGACGCTTGCGCCATCCAGATTGAAGTCGAACAGGTCGTCGTCGAAGGTAGGCGCAGCCATCAGGTCAGTACAAGTCAGAAGACACTTTAACCTGCAGCGCTACCAATGAGAATTAAAAGCTGTAGCACGGAGCCTGGATCTAAGGCAGAACTCTGACTCACGAAGCGCTCAAGACTTTTCCACTCGCGAGGACCTTCCCTTAAGCCTTCGAAGGACGGCGAGTCAAGTTCACAGGGTCTTCATGGCTGATCAAGGCACCAACAACGACTTAATTCGTTTAGCAGAGTGCTCAAGAGAGGAGAGGATGGATATGGATGGATAATGCGTCGGGACTTGCCGTACATGGGTGGCTGCGTCGATAATCTGCAAAAGTATCGGCCAGACGTTGGCGAGGAACCAATTTTCCCTGAGAGTTGATTAAACTAATCGCAAAGGAGCGAAAATCCTTATGGAGTGTGCGAGCCGGCCGTAAGCCATTGTTCGATGGCCGAGCCATGCACATCTTCCTGGAAGTGGTTGTTGAGAACAAAGTGTTTGTCATGGCGAACCAATTTTTTTCAATTTGGTTGCGATGCTTCTTGAGCTCCTGAGCGGTGAACTCACTTTTGGATTGGCATTGATTGATAAGTTCAAGAGTGGAGGGGGAGATGGATGAGGGACGTATCCCGCAGGTTCAGGGTTTCGGGAGGGGGGGGCGGGGCGGCAGGATAGATAGATAGCATCAGACGTGCGGAGGTATCCCGCGGGGGAGGTATCAGGCGCCCGGACCCGGAGGTATCCCGGGGAGGGAGGTCTCAGACGCGCGGAGCAGCTGAGGGGCAGGGCCGTACGTGGGAGGAGGGAAGGAGGAAAAGGAGAGATAGACAGTATCAGACGCGCGCAGGGAAGAGTCAGGGTTCGACATAAGCGGAGGTATCAGACGCGCGGAGGTATCACAGACGCGCGGAGAGGTATCAGACGCGCGGAGGTATGAGACGCGCGAAGGTATCAGACGCGCAGAGAGGTATCAGACGCGCGGAGAGGTATCGGACGCCCGGAGGTATCAGTCGCGCGGAGAGGTATATCAGACGCGCGGAGAGGTATCAGACGCGCGGAGAGGTATCAGACGCGCGGAGGTATCAGACGCGGAGGGGTATCAGACGCGCGGAGAGGTCTCAGACGCGCGGAGAGGTCTCAGACGCGCGGAGGTATCGGTATCAGACGCGCGGAGGGGTATCAGATGCGCGGAGAGGTATCAGGCGCGCGGGATGGGGGGTTTAGGTTAGGAGGCTACAGGGGTTCCTAATGGAATGAGGCGAGCGTGGGAGAAAAACTGATTAATGACAAATTTATTTTGGGCGTCAGGCGTAACAGGGAGCCATCCACCATCACTAAGCTGCATGTTGCAGTTCCGGATTGAACACCATGTGAGGTCTGATGCGGCTGCTGTCTAGACCCACAGCCATGTATCCTATGTCCAGCGGCAGCCTTTCTGGGAAAGGAGAAACGGCCCAAAGATCCATTTTTTGTAACACCTTCTGTGGCAAGAGAATCCGCCAACTCATTGCCGAGGACACCGGAGTCTTGCGACTTTCTTAAGAAAGACCTCATGCAGAGTGTGGAGAGCGGTGTAATATTGTTGCATAAGAGGGACCAGCTGTTGGTGCGCACTGGGGAGCGAGTCCCATGAGTCGCAGGGGATATGCCGAGTCAGCAAAATGAAAATATTAGAGAGCGGAAAAAAGATGAGCATCATAGAGGACGTAATCGAAGAGTTCGATGAGAGCCTTCTCCCCGGTATTATTATGTTATTAGAGCCCACAAGTCCGGGATCATGTGAGTATTTACAAGAGATAACACCAACTATGGGGAGATGCCGGGTATTGATCATCTGTTGGAAAATAGACCATGGTAAGCAAAGGAATCCACAAGAGGGCAAATGATGAGTATATGGCCTAAGGCGGGCCTTATATGTCACACGTTTAGAGAAGGGGATGGAGGATTGCGAAGGAGAATCAGGATGGATAAGATCATGTGAGTCCATAAATTCTGTAAGCTACTCCGCATTGTCCCTGTCGGGACCTCCGACCGACCCCAAATGTAGGGACCAAAGCCAGAAGAGTGATGAGTCATGCTCCATGTCAGGAGAAAGCCGGGCGTTAAAGCTACCCAAACTAAAGAGATTGGAGCTGTTGCTGTGAGAAGAAAGTAGGCTATCGATAGTGTCCCAGAATCCCACAAAGTCCTGCGTACGATTGAGATCCTGAGGGGAATCCTCGACTCGGCTGGGGAAAAATCTGCTATAGAGCAAGGAAAGCTTCCTGAGCATCAGGAAATCGGTTTGGATTGGCTGCGCAGGAGAGTGCATGGGATCCAAACTTGGCAAGTTGACGAAAAGGCATCTGCCCGTGGTCGAAGTTGACACACACAACTCAGAACGTGGGCTCCGTGCCTGCCTGGCACGAGTAGGAGTCTTCCTGGCATGGGCCGCATGCTATGCTGCTAATTATTATGCTGTTGCATGTTGCGTCGCTTGACTCGAGAATCAAGGGGGCTGGGGCCGTTGCTGCCCCACCACACAAGATACCCGAGACCCCAATAGCCCGTGGTTATCACAATTTGCTCGGCATTGGAAGGTCTGCTGAAGTAGTTAGGCAGAAGCTTGGAACGATCTTGAGCTGCTCGATAGCATCCAAAACCACCGGCAACTTGCCTCCGGCTCACAACCTTTCAACGTGACCGAGACCACAAACGCCACGGCGAGGAGACGGAGTTCCTCGGTCCAGAGCACCGCGACAAGCTCAAACAAGCTCACTCGCTGAGGTACACACCTTCATCGCGTCGAGCTCGGCCTAAAGCACCGGACACGAGAATGGCTTTCTCAACAAGCGCAGCACGGGGGAAGTCTTGCAGGAAGGGCTCAGGCGCTCCAGCGCCCACTCATTCAGACTTTGTCGTGCTAACTCATATTGAAACTCCTTTCGGAAACTCGAGTTATCCTGTGGGGTGGAATTGCTCACGTCCACGTTTGAAGGACGTTGGAACCAAACAAAAAGATCGCAGCAAGAAGCCAACCCAACACAACCAGTCAAACGACATGGTGGCTCCATGCGACCACGCGACAATGAACTTGTAGACCTAAACACAACCAGCAACCAGCAAACAACAGTTATCAACAAGAATCAGCAATCAGAACAACCAACGACTGACAGTCACGTCGAACAGCATCAAATGGCCAAGGGCTGTACGACAGTCTTTCCGACACACAACAACGCTCTGAAGTTTTGTAGCACGCTCTGGGAAGTCGATATCAACAGTCGAAACTCACACTCATATGAAATGTCGTGTTGCAGCCGTCACACTCTCCGCGGGCAATCGCCCAACAGAGCGTGCGGCAACTGCTCATGGGGTGGTTTGTCAGGCACCTTCCAGTCTGATTCCAACTGTCAACTCGGCTCTCTGAACTGCCTTGTTGCGATGTCACTTTTTGCTCAAACCGGCTTGTTGCTTGTCGGGGACTGCGATTCCGCGGCTTCGAACGTGCGATTTACGAGAATTGCGCAGCTCGCAGGAAGAAAACTCTTAGCGGCCGAGTATGTTGCATTCGAGGGACAGGGAGACAGCCAGAAACGATTAGATCTGAGAAGTGATCTCTCGAAAGGCTGAACAGCTGCGCATGTTTCCCACCAGCTAGCTGCATAGTCGACATTGCAGCAAGACTTGGGCTACCACCTGATGCAAGCCTCAAGTGACCACACAGATCAACTCTCCTCTAAGTTGACCCAACATCTTTCATCCTCGGTAATTGTACATGCCACAACTGCTCAACATCATCGCCTCAAGCTCGGAAAGAAAGAACATGAGCAGAATTGACAAACCGTGCCTCGGGCACGGGACGCAGCGGAAAAGATGTGTAGTTTGCAGAACACTGACTTGTTCCAAAATGGCAGCGGCAGAGCACGGTGTCAGTTCCTTGATGGACGTTCAATCTGTGCGGGATACAAGAACTCATGTCATACAGCGTTGTCCCCTGATGAAGGCGCACTTTCCACTAGTGGTCACCTCGGACATGACGCGAGTGCAAGAGTCTTCGAGATCCCTCAGTTGCACGCGAGATCCAGGGAGTTACTCACCAAACCGACTGCGCTCGAAAAAGAAACGAAGGTCTTCCAAGCCATCCACTTGACTCTTTGACGCAGCTGTGCAAGTTCTGGAAACTTTTTCAAGGACAGCTCTTGTTCTTCATCGAAGGCCTTCAAGGACGTCTCACTGACAGAAAAATCGTGGCAAGAAGCAAACACCTCCAGGATGGCGTCCAGAAGTTTATCTGGCAACTCCTTGGCATGTCATCATGTAATGTAAGGAAGCGTGCCAGGCGTCAGCGGAGCTTCGAGCTGAGAAGCAATTTCTTGACACAGGGCCATCAGGGACGGGATGTGAACGCCGCGAACGCTCGCGGCTTCCAGACCTAAGATCTCTCCGTGCCGAAGCGGCTAGGCTCGCAAAAGCAGTGAGGAGACAACCATTTCGAAGTCGGAGCAATGCCTGGCGGCAAGTCGGCTGCTTCGGAAGGCCATCGGTATCCTGTGTTCATGAAGCCAAAGCCGCCTCGATCGATCTGGAGATCTTGCAAAGGGAGGGCGTCTCCTTGGTCTTCACCAAGCGGAAATGGACTGCAACGGCAGCCGGTCTGAGATTCATCCAATGTGTGAGCTGCATCTGTTACCTTGCCTGTTCTGTCACTTCCAAACAGCATCGGTCCCGACACCGCACATGCGACTACACGCGCTTAGCTGTGCAATTTGAGAGACGCACGCGGTCACGCGGTCGCATGCGGTCGCGCTGACGCCAGCCCTTGGCCTCGCCTTGGCGCCCGCGGCGGGCGGCCGCTGGGGCTTGTGGCGCCGGCCCGCCGCCGCAGGAATGTTTAGCAAAGCGTCCACATCCCAACCAGTGCTCACGCTTGCATCGGAAGCAGGACAGGTGGTTCCAGGGATGATCTCCAAAACACAACGCCAAACTGTAAATTCGGATGCACGAAAAAGACGCCATCGCCTACTGACTTGAAAGAGCTGCTTGACCGTCAAGAAACTTGTGACCGACAGGTCACATGAGGGTTCCAAATAAGGAAACGTGATCAACCGACACGACATCACGTTTGAAGAAGGGGCGGGTCGAAGAAAGGCGTGGCGCCGCTGGCACTGGTACTGTGGCGCTCTACTGCTGGCCCCGTGGCGCAGGTGCCAACGCTGGCGAAAAAGGCTACGTGCAAGCAACGCTATAAATCTGAAAAGAATGCCGTTCTAGGCTTCGTTTGGGCCACCCACCTGTTCCACAGCATGTTCTGTATCGAATTCGCACTCAGGTCGGAGGGCCCAGGTTCACGTTGTTGGGCCTCTGGTTTTTTAGGACTATGCGTGCAAGCTTCAGGTTGAAGGGCTTTATGGTTAAACGGCAGTTTCGGTGTGGGCTTAGTGATTAGCGTTCAGGCTTCAGGTGTCAAGGTGTATAAGTTCTGGGTTCCTGTCATGGCTTGGGAGTCAATGAGGGTCACGGGGTTACGTCTAGAGTTCAGCGATCGCAGTCTTCACAATGATCTTGCCTTTCACTTCTTCTGATGCTGGTGTTCGCAAGGGCTCCTTGTTGGTGCCCCAAGATGAGTCTGATCTGCGATTTCTAACTCACTGCTAGGAGTCTGAAGTCATCTCAAGTCTAGGGCTGAGAAAGGTTTGCTCTTCGTGGTGTTTTCGGATTTGACCGAGACTTAAGATTCAGTGATGCAGGGCTTGGAAGTTTCGGGTTTGCCGTGTGGGATGAAAGCAACTGAAAGCCCAGGTGCTATTTCAGGATTCTATCTGTTCTGTTGAAGTCAGGGTGATCGTGTCCGAAAAGCCTGATTGGGGATTTGGGGTTTGAATGGGTTTGAGGTGCCGCCCGGTGCCTGTGAGAGAAGAAAATCAAGAAAGAGGTTACGAATTCAGACCGGAAGCATCAGCCCGAAAGGAGTAAGCATGGCTCTGGCTTGAACGGGCAAGGCATGTCTAAAAAAAGACGGCAGCTCACCAATCCTCTAAGAAGGGGGCTAGAACCGCTCCGCGAGTGCACTGCTCCACTTCGTCCAAAATATCCAGCTTCTCCTCCAAGTCCAGGTCCGCGTCCTCGAGCTGCGTCAGCTCCAGCACCGTCGCGTACAAAGCCCTCGCTTCCTCGGCTGAGTTCGCCATCAGGGCCTGCGGATCGATGGCCATCTCTGCTGCCATCTGCGTATAACATAAGGCCTGCAGCTTCTCAAGGACGAAATCTAAGTCCAGAGACTCCAATGTTCTCTGCCGCAAAGAATCAGCTAATTCTGTATCCACAGCGTCACCGACGAACTCGTCTCCATACTGCGCAGCAGCTACACATGTGCGAAAGGGCTTAGGGCGTTTCCTGGAGTCCTGGAAGCACCTCCGTCTCGAGTGAAGCCACGCCAGACTTGTGCTCAGCAAAGCGCCTGTCCACTTGGCCCGCTGAGAACGCTGGTGCAGGTTCTGGTGGCGCTGGTGCTCTCGCTGGCACTGGCGGCTGGCTGTACTCTTGGAGTCGACTCCGACGCATCCGGGTGCCCTGCGTTCAGCAACTGCAGCCAGCACAGGCGGTTGAGCTAAAGGAGCACCATGAAAATGCGCCATGCTGCACAAACTTCACATGTCAGTCCTGACGCTTTATAACACTAGACCCAAAAGACTCAGCACCTCGAGGTTGCACATTTTAAAGAAGTTCATCCCCTCCTCTGTTCCAAAGACTGTTCTTGTTTCATGCAGAGAGCTCTTTCTGTGAGTCGTATCATATCTCTTCGTGACTTGAAAGGAGGCAGACCATGTTTCACAGAGGCAATCGAGACAACTCGTCCTTGTATGCCGCAGTATCATCCACTCCGATCATAGCCTCACTGTCACTGCGTAGCATCCTGCGGATCCCAGAACCACAGGTTGACAACCACCGAACGGTGTGAAAGGGGGCTGGAGGTAGGCCTGATCGCCTGACAAAGAACACTGGATGAATCTTCTGTAGAATTGCAGATCGGTTGAGGACTTTTTGGAGCACCATCTCGACTCGTGGGCAACGTTGCCAAACACTTGTGGCCACGTCGAAACCTCCAATTGAAGCTTATGCAATCCTGTGCTCCCACAGGCTTCTGGAGGCTAAAGCCTGCAAACTCACTTCAGCCATGAACATGCTTGAATACTGCTCATCTCAGTACAACCAGCCTAGGCACGAAGGCGGTCAAACGTTTAGGGCGACCAAGGCTTGTACTTGTAGCTGAGCTCATGGCTTCGCTGCTGCCGAGGCCTCTTCACCAAGCGGCACACATTGAAGGTCGAACCAGCTTCGAACGCCTGTGAGGCGACTGGGTGCCGGGCATTGCTGAATCTGAAATTGATGCTCCAACATCATGATGAATGCCTCGCAAAATGGCCAGATAAGAGATGTGAAGTTTTCGCTCGCAGTTGTCATCGTGACGTCCTCACAGGTGGAAGCCTCTCTTTAGAAGGCCGTGCTCGTCGACTGGAAATGCTATGGCCTGACCCGACAGCTTGGACGACATTCCGAGCTGTGAAGCGACAGAAATCTGCCAAACCCTCCGATGGCTGAGGCCCAACTCCGACATCTCATGGAGAACTCAAGGAGACGGGTGGTTTTACCGTTAGTTGCAAAGTGCGTTCGTCAGAGCCCCTTGCAGAAAAACCGTTCGCAAAAATGCGGAAAGGCTAATCAACATTAGCTGCAAGGCCAGCTTTGGCGAGCCCAGCTTTGCGCGAAACATGCGATGGTACTGTTTACCAATGTCTCGTTTGCCCCGTGCAACTTGAAAGCGTGATACAAGCAGAAGAGCAGTTGACCCGGTCCCACTGCAGTTTGGGCAGTAGGAGAATGCAAAGAGTTTGGGCTTCAAAGGCCGGAAGCCCTGCCGTGCCGCTGGTGCGAGACTGGTCGATTTCGCACTTCGTGGATCTGACACCCTCCGTCCTTACAACAGTGTCGCGAACAAGCTAATCGCCGTACCACCATCCAAATGAGATAGAGAAGGCAGAAAAGAGTTGAGACTGTGAAGCCGGTATGGCCTGCATGTTATAGTTGGTTAGCGCAGACCCCCCCAAACTGTTTCTCTGCTCGAGGTATGAGAGCTTCGCAGGCCGCTCAGTCGGACTAGTCCGTTGCTAGAGGTGTTGTTTTTACCTCGTACACACAACAGGCTCGGACGGAAGACTTCTTATGATGCAGATTCGAGATCTGATCCTCTTGCGGCGGTCGGACTTACCGTCCACAGAAAAACATGAATCTGTGAAACTTGTTCCTGACGTGACGGGTGACGGACGGAAAGGGTGTGCCTGCACGCAGAAGAGGAAAAGAGTCGGAGGCGGGCACATCAAAGTGCACCCGACCGAAGCTTATGTTGTCTATTCCTTGGTGAATATGGGAGCTCGCAAGGCAGAGCCGCAACCCCCCCATCCCGCTTTTCACATAGGTTGAGGCTGAAAGTTTCCCAGGCCAAGGAGCACCCACTCTCTTCCTCTTGTTGCCTGAAGATCCTTAATCCTCACATGTTTGGTGTGTGGTAGAACATATGACATATGCATTGCTGGTCACACGTTCGGTCTGTAAGGGAAGGCATTGCTGGTCACAAGGTTGGTATGTAGGCGAGTATGTAGACGCTGTGGTATGTAGGATCGCAAGTTGACACTGTCCCGACATCTGAATTAGCATTTATGTGGGAGACCGTTTTGTTGATCTATCGTGCTCATCCTTGTGACCACCGAGCTTTCTAAATAACAGGCTCTGTGACAGATTTCTAGCCGGATCATTGCATGGAATCTCATGTCTTATCCCGCAGACTGGAGTCCCAGACTGTGTTTCTTCTTCAGGTGTGATGTGTCCCCCTGCTTCACATAAAACTAAGCTGCTTTCTTGGACCCTTGGCGACAGGGCTGCACACACACACACACACACACACCACTTGAAACTCGGACAACATTGAACTCACGTCACATGATCTGAGTGTCAAAACTTCAAAACTCACATGTTGCCAGGGTCTCAACAATCTGTATAGGCTAGTTCACTGAGTTAGCCAAGGCACCTTGCAATGACCACATGCAAGCAAGTCAGGTTACAACCGTGCAAAAAGCCGAAACCGAGAACAAAACCGCAACAAACATCGTGTCGATGACCAAGGCAATCCGGATAAGGGTTCTGGGCTTGGCCCTGAGCCTTGTCACTTCTATGCCAGGGCGATTGTTTACTGTGGCAGCGACCAACTACTGGGCCCTTGTCCGAGAACGGCACACACACACACTGACACACACGCCCGCCGCGCCCTCCCGCCCGCCAGCACACACATCAGACACCACCTTTGCGGCCCAACGGTGCAAAGGAATCACAAACTCGCGCTGCAGAATGCCGCCTTAGCTTCGAAGTCCGTGTATCCATGAGAAGTGCCTGCATGGTACGCCTCGAACGGATCTTCAATGCCGCGAGAATGCATGTGCCTTGCCAACAGCTTTATGATCCAGGCCCGCTACATGCAAGCGGTTCATGTGTGCTGCTCGTCCAGCCTCTCGGGTTCCCCTCACTCCGTCTTCCAAGTTCAAGCGTTGCGCAAGCTCGGAATCCAAAGGCAAAGGGGCATGTGCCTCACCAATCTTATCCAGCATGGTCGACGCAGAATGCCTGATGCCATAATCAGCTGGTTGCTAGCATCCTCCAACACCAGAGAGCATCTTGGTCGCTGCAAAGACTTCTGCCGATGCCTGCTGCCCTCGCAACCAGGCGAAGGCTGCAAAAGACCCTGGGCAGTCATCAATGCAGGGAAGCCCCGACAAGCTGCAATGCGAAGTCACAAAACACCGACATCTTGTCAAAGCCTGCAGATGCCGGTAGCGCACCTGCGACGCAGGGCCCCACAATCCACACAGAGTTTAAGCGGATTTCAGCTGTGAGCCGGAAGATGAACAGGCTTCCGCAAAATCTGCTTCTGGCTGGTTCCGACTCCTGCTCGTCTAATTAAACTTGCACGCATCACAACCGCCTCCATCAGTTCCTGGCTTCTGAGTGAACTCTGCAGCTCCTCAACCTGCACTTGCAGTCGACCACAGAAATGACAAGGACCAGCGTCGACCGTGGCGACTGAACTATCTGAAATAGCCACAGCGACGAGAAGCCAACAATTAAGAACGAGCTGTCACTTGGCAGCCCTATGCATGCCACAAGAGGAGCAAGCTGGGGTAAACCAAAGCCACCACGTTTGCAGAATGAGCATAATCCTGATGTTAGTGCTGCGACGATGATAAGGACAGCGAGCGGCGGAATTGATTATGATGAAGAACTGGAGGAGGAGCAGGAGGAGGAGGAGGAGCAGGAGCAGGAGCAGGAGCAGGAGCAGGAGCAGGAGCAGGAGGAGGAGGAGCAGGAGGAGCAGGAGGACGAGGAGGAGGAGGAGCAGGAGGAGCAGGAGGAGCAGGAGGAGAAGCAGGAGGAGATTTGTTCGGGAAATAAATGGAAAAATGGAGGAAGCGTACCTCACGCTAGGCTGGACTTCCATAAATTCAAATGAGCGAGGCAACATTTCCCCCCCCCTCCTCATCCTGCCACGACCGACGTGTTTCGGGAAGCAGCACGGTACTCTGCAGGAAAGATACCAGAAACTGCGACCTTACGACAAGTTTGTCAGCTTGGCTGAGATACTAATATAGATGCATCAGGGAACCAGCCTCTTCGTGCAGCAGCTGCAAGGCTTGGTCCTTGCCGGCGAACGCGTTGCCATCACAAGTATCGATCGACAGCTACGGGCATGTGCTTTTTTCGCATGCTGTAGGTTTCTCCCCTTGTGTGAACCCGGCTCTTCCTTACCCGATCGATATCACCGCCAGAACCAAAGGCTAACTTCAACGTTTCGAACCAGCTTGTCCTTCAGCAATAAAAGCTTCTGCAGCTCATCCACAGACAACACCTGGTGAACAAGAATGGAACCTAATGGAACACAGATTGCGGCAACCTACAGCTGTACCCAAGCAGCCTTACACAAAAGCAAAGTCGATATCATGCTTCGTGGGAGCAAAGAGTTCGACAATCCCCATCAGAGCCTCCAGCTCCGGATTCGCAGCCTGCACGATTTTTTCGAGTCAAAGAACCTTTCTGTCGCGAAAGAGGCACACTGGCACAGTTGAGAGGACGCATGAAAGACGCACTGCTTAGGGACTGCCTTCCAGGCTCTGTGAGCTTTGGATGAGATGCCGGATTTGGGGGAGCCGAGTGAACGCCTTCAAGAGAGTCTTGTACTCTCTGGCATGGCAATGGCAACGACCCGAAGTAGATCCGAACTGACTTCGCAGGGTAGTCTGAGACTGAGATCAGGTCGCCGTGATTCCCATGTGCCACGATCCATGTCGTGGTAAGTAACAAGTCTCTGGCTGCGAAGGGCTTCTTCCGCTTCTTCCACTTCTCTGGCTTTTCGGGGAACCCAGCAAATACTCGCCTCGATGCATGTGATGCTAACACCCTACCGATACCCCCGGCTCTAGCACATCAAGGCACAAGCTGCAAAAAGCATAAAGCCTTGGTTCAATGGACTGACTCATCTGTGCCAGTGAGATGCTCGGCAGCGGCTCTCTGCCTAGTTCGGGTGGCATTCCCTCGGCACACGACTCGCCGCATGATTTAGCAAACCGTATCTCCCACATGCCGCATTCTAGCATGGCAGGGTGCGGCACTCGATCGCTCATGGCGCCAGCATCACATGGGGCAAGAACATGTTCTACAGCAAAAAACTGAAAGAAGCGCATGACCGTCAATGCCATGCACACCCCTTTCCGCTGATTTTGTTTGCCTTGCAACTTCCCTGCGACCCACATAGTATCCAGTAACATGCAAAAGACATGAGATGGCGATAGCTGCCCAACTTTGCGGCCAGCAAAATGGCTGAAGCCCCCTGCTGCAGGGAAGGTTACGCAAGTGCATTTAGCCAGCGTTGCCGGGGTATGGCCAGCATCACAGTCTTTGCCACTTACTCTCTTCGGCAACAAGGATGTGTACAGGTGCTCTTCATTGGAGAGCCCACCATGCACCCAGTCGGGATTTTTTGAGTGGTAGAAGCTAGTATGCGAGTTACACATCTACGCACAACGACTGCACGGCTCACGGAACGAGAAAACTCCATCGTACGACACGCATCTTCGCTACTGTTCCTCAACTCGATCTGAACCGCTAGCGACATGAAATTTGGCATTACGACGCCACTCGCTTTGGTGCAGGTCGCGCTTGTTTTTGTTGCTGCCAGGCCGCATCCAACGATGTCATCAAGTCGGGTCATTCTAGCCACTGACACTCTCTTTCAGAATCATCAGCTGACTGTGACAGTGAAACCATCCAGACTTATTCAACAGTGTCCTTCGATCAGTTCGCACTCTGTGCCGTCCAATGAACGGAAAGCAGCAGGGATGCCCAGCTGCCAGGTTTGCGCGTTCAAAAACTCGGCTTCCTGCAAGCCATCAAAGAGTGGCCGACTGCTGCTCCAGCCACCTCATCTTGCCTGTGTCGATTCATGTTGCGCATTCAAACTACATCTACTCTCCTTTCGCACATGTCTATACCGAAGCCGTGTACAAGCATCGGTTCATGTTGCAGTTGGAATCTGTCCAAATGTCATCTGCTACTTTCCCGGACGGGCAAAACATTCCAGTTGGCAGGCTAGCAGCTTTCCAGTTCTGAGATGGAATCCTTTATCATGCGAAGCATCTTCAGCTGCTGCATCTGGGATACGGGCACATCCCGCAGTAAGATGTCCATAAGACCTTCAACGAATTCTTCGCGGGTCACGACACCAGATTTGTCCACGTCCTGACTTTTGTTGCAGGCAGGGGTGCTACCACAATCGAGATCGAAAGACCAAGAACCCCCAAGCTTCTAGGACGGTTTGCAGTAAATGGCACAAGACCTGAGCCTGAGCACCCTTTGAATGTGAGCACCCTTAAGAGGTTAGGTCACGTTGCCATCATGTTGCACAAGGACAGCACCGTCCTAGGTCCTCGAAGCTGGAAGTACTGTGAGCACGCGCGGACGATGCAGGCAAGAAGTTCTACCTTGAAACCTCTCCGATAAACTGGTGTCAGCCCAGAATCCAAGACGTTGAAAAGCTCCGTCATGCTGCCCACAGATGCTTGGTCCAAAAGCTGGTCCGGAATTTGACCGCTGCTTTCGAACTCACGCATCTCCTCTCACAATTCGAGACATGTAGGGAACAACACTCTTCCGTAGGCAGCTACCTTCCAGGACTGATGACCTTTCCTCGATGGCTATCTCGCCACTCCCATCTGCATCTGCTAGATCAAAGAGCTTCAGAATCTCGGGCAGCATGGTTTTTGTGTTGGCACTCCTGTACCGAGAGGTTGGAGAAGTCATTGACAAGCACATGTCGTAACAGGCTGCGACGAGGGAAATATCACAAAACAAACAATACACCCGTGCCTGATCCTGTCGTCCTCTTTGCGCAGAGCCCTCGCATGTTCCATGGATCCCTCGACGAGGGCTGCAGTCACGAGGTTCATCACCTCGTTGGCAGGCATGCCAAAGTGTGACAGCCGAGCTACATCTCGGGCGTTGAGCGACACGAATCAGCAAATTAAGGACTTTGTAAAACAAAGATGGCTTTGAGACGAAAGCTCCAAGTTTACTGACAACATTTGACATCTATAACATCTCACGACAAAAACAAGCATGCATTCGCAAGTGAGAACCACAACAGGAGTCTTGCTCTAGATTCTAGCATTCGCAGGCATCCGCTGCGAATGTTTCGCTTTTCAACGCTCGGACTCTCGCCACCCCCTATCGGAAGTCCATGAGCCCACCAACTTAGCAAAGTGCGCCATCTTGCGTTCCGCAGACATCGCAGGAGGAAAAGAAGGCTCGGAGGGGGGTTGGTTTCTTTAGCTTTGTCAGCTGGTACCCAAGAAACGATGTGGGCTGGCAAACCATCACTCCAAGAAATGTTGTTGGCTGGCGACTCCAAGACGAAACCTCAGGTTTTAAGTTGAATCGGGATGGTTGGTAATAAACTCGACGAGTCACGGATAGGTTGGGTGGGGAACCCTGCGACGCCTTAAAACAAGCGTGGCTGGACATCCTGCACCCTCAAAACCAAATCTTGGCTGTCAAAGCTTAGCACTCCAAAGCGAGATGTTGGTGCGAAATCCCACATTTGGAAAGAAGATGCTGGGCAGGGCGCATGAAAACCGAGAGCGAAGTGCTTGCTGGCAGAACTTCAAGTGAAAACAGTCCATTAACACTCTTGCACGCGAAATTGACGCGTTGGCGAACATAAAACCATATTAGGCGGGGATGTTGCTTCTGAACTGAACACGTGGAACCCCAGAAAGCGCTGCTAAACACACGTGCTAAATGGGACGCTTCGAATCTCGAAGCAACATGTAAAATGGCGAGTTTACAATATACCCATTCCAAACTACATGGTCGTGTGCCATTGGCCCGTGGTACGGGAGGCACTTCCGAGAATGTTCACATGCTGAAAACCATGGCAGTGGCAATAGATTCGTAGGTCAGGGATTTTGAGGGCTAGAAAAGGGCTGCTAAGAATTCGGAAGTAGCTGTTGCCACTGCGCTGTCCCAAGCCAGTATGTCTTCGAAGCCTTTGGTGCAACGTTTGAGAGTCCAGCATTGAGTGGGCATAGTGGGCCCTGTCGAGAGGCCGCGAAGACGACGTTCATTATGTATATACGCATACGCAGAGTTAATCCAACATCCGAACATGGCTTGCAACAAAAACATCTCTCGTCAAGCTGCAATGCTACTGGGCCATGCAAACATCACCATTTAAGAGTAGCAGAGAGGAGGAGCGTGGCAGCAGCAACGTGAGGCAAGTCATCGTCAGAAACAGAACGTCATTACCCCCCACCCCGGTCCGAAAGGTGTCTGAACGCAGGGCACGAGCGCCGTTCTCCGAGAAAGCCACTGAAAATCTCGAGAGCCCGAAGCAGCAAACAGCAAAAGCCGACTCTTCTATGAAAGACCCGGACACCGAAAAACGGCCAGCCGCTGAAACAACGAAATGCCGAATTCCCAAGTTCCCGAAAAAGCAGAGAATATCTGAAGACCTCGAAACAGCGAAAACCTCGTCCAAACCGAGTCCAACAGCTGAAAAGTGGAGAAGAACCCACGGGTGTGTACGACACATCCTCCAACTACATGCTGGGAGGGAAACCCGGAGCATGGCGAACCCTACGCCCCGGAACAAGAACCTGCATGGAAGCCTGAAAACCTCTCTTAGATGTAAACCCTTGATAGCAAACCCTACCGACCCAAAGTATATCGTTGGTGGTAAACCCTACAAAGCCGTCTGACTGACCCTACACAACCAAGGTGGTTGGGATGGCCAATGAACCGCAAATACTGCGCAAAGGTGTCGGGCACGAAAGACAAGGCAAACTCGCCAAACCGAAGAACGACATGTCTGCTGGCAAGGCCTCACGAATTAGATGTTGCATTGAAACTTTTAAACCATGAAACATATAATTGTGGAGATCTCGGTTGGCCAAGGTTGAACACGAAACATCACATCCTGAAAGCACGCGTTTCGTGGAAAAACTGAAAATCGAGCAAACCTTTTTTCGAGCCTCTTGCGAGATGTTGGGTCGGAAGCCCAAACCGCGAAGCGAAACAGTGGCCAGCGACTCAAACGACTAAAATTCTCAAACCCCAAATCAAGAACTTTGGCGTGGCGAACTGTAACCTGCACGGATCTGGCAAAACAACATGTCGGCTGTCAATGCCCAAAACCCCGAGCGACACGCTGGATCGGAAAACCCCAAACCAAAAATGAAGTGTGGCGTTCGTTAGCCGGCGAATCCTAAACCATGCAACTGCAAAAAGAAGGACCCAAGAAGCGACGTCAAAAGCATGGCCTTAGACCAAGTGCTACGACCTTGGTTGTGCACAGGTCTTGCTATCTCATCTAGGAATATCTAGGAGGCATGTCAGGGTAATTGTCAAGACAGGTCAGGCTTTGCAGCTGTTTGCGCTCTGCCTATCTTCGACGATGCTTCGGGTACCACTGAGTCGGTTACCGAAACTGACACAATGAGAATGAGCACGGCGAAGAAGACGAATATCGCTGGCTCCAGCTTGACCATTGGGAGGTAGATCGCGGATATGTTGTCCATGGTGATGAACTGAGTGAGTGTAATCATCGACATCCCCAGCGAGCTGAAGTTCTCACGAATGACCGCGTTTGCAGCAGGATCGGACTGAAACCGGGGATTGACCGCAATGAGCTCAAGGCCCAAGACACCGAACACATAGAGTACCAACCTTGCTCGTTCGGGGATTTGACCCCAGGATGTGATCACACCAGTCAATTGATTAGATTCAGAATCGTAACTGGGCTCGAGGTATAAATTCTTAATTGCCACGACAAGCTCGCATCATGCAAAATGTCCCTGCAATCATGTCCGACCAAGCAGCAACAATAGCATCAAGGTGGAAAGTACTGTGTCCGCTGAAGCCATGAGACCATGCACCAAGCGCCACAGGGGCTTGATCTGCTTGACCATGCGAAATGAGCGGATGAGGCGAAAGAGACGCAGCAAGCGCAAGACAATAATCTGCTGTTGTGCTTCACCAGCGACACCGGCAATGAGACGTTCCAAGTAAGAGAAGACCACAAGACTGAGATCAAAAAGGAACCAACCTTCACAGAATATCTTTGAGCCTC